CCGTTTTCCTTATGGTTCTCTGCTTTTCTGCCTTGCAGGTAACTGCTGATGAATGATCTCGTGCATTAACACGATGGGGTAGGATGCTCCAATGAAGTTAAAAAGCTGGTTTGTCTTAATCACAGTAGTGAGAGGGATTTGGGTTGCTTTGCAACTCGAACGTAAGAAGTTTAAAGGTATCAAATACATTTGTCTGATAGCATTTTGTTTTTTAAGATCAATTAAAAAAAATCAAAATAAAAAAAGACAAGACCGGCTCTTTTCATGCTAGACATGAAGTTTAAAGTCGCATTTTTGTGACAGTGTTAAAAATAAGTAAAATTAAGAAAAAGAAGGGTTCATTTTTCTGCCTTTTTCTAAGCTTGGAAACGAATGATCCAAATTAGATTACTCATGAATAGCTAATGTCTGTCAAACTACATCTGGATGTTGATATTTGTTACACATCAGTATCCATATAGCTCATCCATTAACTGGAAGTGATTTAAAATCAAGAAGATGCCGCTGGTTACGATAAGAGATCGTTTAAACAAAAGATTTGTGGAGGAAAAAAAATATGTAAGTTTTTATAAAAGCTTTAATTATATTTTATACATAAAACATTATTTTAATGGGCTTTCTTTAATGAAGACTGCTCACTGTTTAGGTTGTACAGCAACAGGAAGGAGAAAAGGAATCTTGGATTCTATTTAAAGAGCAGCCTGTGAATTAAAAAGCTATTAAAGAATTCTGCAGTCATTTAGGGAAAGATTTTGCATGAGAAAAGATTGGTGAATCCAGGGAGCATCGTGTTGCTTTGGACCAGGCTGGGCGACACCATCTGCATGTTGTGAGCAGTAGGCCCAGCTCTGGGGGGAAACTGCTGTGTCCACCTCTGTTTGCACGTCGTCCCCACGTGGCAGTGGAGCACGCGTTGTGTGTTAGCGCTGATGAGGTCTCTTCTCTTGCTTGGGTTTTGAAAACTGAGTTATTTGTCAACTCTCCAAAGGTCGATTCAAACTCATTCCAAATTTTATTTGATTAAAGCCATCGTGCTCACAGTTGGAAAAATGAAATGCAAACAGCCGTAAGTTACTGTGTCTCGGATGGGTAAATGTCAGGCGCAGAACGAAAGGGCTTTTTTGCTAGGTTTAAGTGAAACAGAGTCTTTATTTAGTGTCATGTTTTAATTTATTTATTTAAAAGCATTTATTTAAAGTTCTAAAAAACAAAGAATTCAATAAAGCAAGACAGGTGCAACTGCAAATGATTAATGATATAATTCTTGGTACTTTATAAAGTGTCTAACACTGAGGAGATTTATACAGTGCAGAATGGCAATTGTGCTTTGATGGGAGGAATAGGTAATCAATACCTGCAAGCTTAGAAAAAGTGTTCTATTTCCTCCTCTAATGATATAGGGTTTTTTGCAAGGCAAGGATGTCTGGAGCATGAGACACTTGGAAGAAGAATTAATTTGAAATCCGTAGTGGAAGATCAGTTTCAATTAAAACTGCACTTGAATGTCCATGAAAAAAGCAGGCTGTTAGGCTTAAGCCTGATGGCTACTAGCAAGTAAATGAATCCCACTGCACTCTTCCTGATTACGTTTTGTTGCGCTTATTTTCTCTGGATAGGAGGAGGTGGAGTTCATTTACTTCTGTCTCAAACTCAAAACTAAAAATGTCCTTCTTTCTTGCCTCCCCAGCCCTGTTTTATCCCTCTAATTGTTGGAGTTGAGCTGCTGAGGTTGTGGCCTCTATTTCTGCCTGCAATCGCTGCCATAACAGTGTGGGTCATACTGCATGTAATGCTTTGCATATCAAAAAGTTCTGAAAGAAATTAATGAAAAATGTGGCCGTTTATACATCCTGTGCTGATTTTAACTAGCAGGTCTTGAACCTCTAAATCAGAGCTTAGCCTTGTGGCTGTAATTTGGGATGTCAGGACTTGGAGTCACAGCTGCAGTGCTTGGTTGGGGTTGAATTGAATTCAACCCCATGAATTGCTGAGTTTCATTGCATTCGATTTTCCTTTAATAATGCAGCACCAGTATGGAAACATTTTAAGCATGGAAACGAATGCTATCACATGAGGATAGCAGATAGCACTGCTTTTGGGGTAAATTACAGATTTAGAACCAAGTGAAGATTCTGTATTTATAGAAAGAGATGTGTTGCTGTATTAAACTAATTCCAACAAGTTAAATTGGAAAAAGAAGACAGTGTGTTCTGTTTTTTTGGGGGGGAAGGGGGCTTAAGTGATACAAAAATTGCAAAAAGAAGAGTATGTGTTTGTTGAGGTTTTTTTAAGTGATACAAAGACATAAAAGCTTTCACATAAAAGAAGTCAGTGCTGGGAAAAATTACATTTCGGTAAGAGTGCAGGTACCTAAGTCACTTGAGATTTTAACTCACCATGGTGCTTTGTTTGCTTATTTACCCTTATGGCTTATTTTATTTATTTTGCTAAGACAGTTTCCACTGCAAATTGGCTGAGAGCTGGCTACACTTTAGAGAGAAAAAAACCTTTGTGACAAGATGCATGCAGGTAACCCTACAATCCCTTTTAAAATAGGTTGGCTTATTCAAAATTGCAATCTCCCCATTGACTGAAGGGTCACCGAAATGCTTACAGGAATGCGAGTGCTCGGCTTCCTTTGAAAGCACAGCTGAATCCACTGCGATAGCCTCTGCGAGCAGAGTGCTTTTGAAAAGCTCACCCTATGTTTATAACAAAGCCAAAAATGAGAGCTGGCAGGTTTGATGATTTTGGGCGCTACTGAACATTTTAAAGCAAATTCCTAAATTTCATGGAATAAATGCATGGTTGTATGGAAAGTAAATCTGAATTGCCAGTTAATTCACTGCAAAACAATTGCTGAGAGCATTCTGATTCAGGAAAAAAAAAAAAAAAAAAAAAGAGTACAAGTGGAACACATTTAGTTTTCCCCACGTAGGGCTTTTAATAATTTTGTTCTCCTTAGTTGCAGTACATTGGGAAATTAACTGAAAGTGGCTTTTGCTGACAATACAAGTTGAACAATGAGATAAATGAAACCGAGCTTTTTTTAACCTGGGCAAATAATGTGAGTGATTTTTAAAGGGTGTTGCAATTTTGCTTAATTGTAGTTGAAAATAAAACACTTTCATGTCGTTTTGGTTCCCATTCAGCATTTGCACGTGATGGGTACTGCACAACATCTGATTACTGATTGAGTGTCCTGCAGTGGCCCGAGGGAAAGTGGGAAAAGTCATCTCACACTCAGACACTCATTGGAACCCTGCGCCAATGGAGCTGGCCTTCACAACCGCTGGGGTTGGATGGCACTAATTGAGATTGCGTGTTTCTCAGATGCTGGGGTAATAAATGGTGCATCGTTTGCTGCTGCGTGCCTGTTGAGCAGACATGCTGACTGGGTGGTTCAGGAGGTGCACAGCTGGTGTGGCATCCGAGGGGCTGGCAGAGCAGGGGGTCAGCCCTGCCCCTGTAACTTGGCTGTTGTGGATGAGGGAAACCTCTTCCTTCCCATCATCAATTTCCCTGTCTTTGCATGAGAATAACAGAGCCCTGCTGCAAAGCTCTTCAGGAACTGTAAGTGAGGAGCGCTTTGCAGGAACTGTGTGCTGTTATTTCAGGAGCTTAAACTGCTGTTTGCACTCCCAGAAACATAATCTCTTAGTCTCTGTTAATACAATTTAAGAGTTGGAGCAGGAGGTCATAAGAAAAATGTGAAATCGCTGGAGATCCTCCTCTGTGTGCAGAGGTTCCTGGTGTTGTATTGCATTTGGAGCTGCTGTGTGCTGGGAACGGCAAGGTCTTTGTCTGAAACCTTTTCCTTCCACTTGCTATATTTATTGACCGTTCTTGCTGGAGAGCTATAGAATGGGCTGAGCGAGTGCAGGTGGTGGCAGCAGCTTCTGCAGGCTGAGCAGTGCGTTGTGCCGCTGCCTCCCGCAGCACTGTGCCACTCTGTGATGCATCACTGCCTTCCTTCCCATGGCAGAGGGGCCAGGGCAATCCCACTGCAAAGTTTAGCCAAACAGTTCGGGGTTAGGGATGGGGGTTAGGGACCAAGATTAACACGCCAAGAAGGAATCTGGGGCAGGTGAAAGCTCCAGAGCAGAAGAAGAAACTCTGCACCTCTTGTCCCTTGTGAGTTGGGTGTACAGATGTGACAACAGCTGCTTCAGAAACCACTTAGAAACACTTCAGTGCATGATGCTGAGTGCATCAGGACTCGCCATACACCTGGTGTGCTGGGGGCAGAGGCTGCTCTGACATTGCTCCTCAGAGCTGAACCTCATCCCTTGTTGACCTCTGTGGCAGCCAGCGATGGGCTCGCCCGTACAGATGCACAGATTGCTTTCCAGAACCTAAACTCCTCCTGGCTAATAAATAGAAAATTTGTGTAAGAGGAACACCAAGAAGTTACAGCATTTTCCTGGCAGGTCACTGTTGTCTTCACTTCCTCTAGCAAGAGATGTCTTTTTTTCCTTTGCTGTTTTCTTCAAATTTACTAATATCCTATTTGCTTTAATTCTTCATTTTCATTTTTGCTGGCTTTAAAACCTTCTGAAGAAATGAGATCATTAATAAAGATCATATTATCTAATTAGAGCATTGTAGAAGAGCAAGTTAATGCCTGGCTGGTACATTGTGTATCTCTTCTAAGAAGGTAAATGCATACTCGTATATCATGGCTGAAGCTTTAGGAAAGTTCCTGTAAACCCATGCTAATTCGTAACATACGCATGAGGGAATTACAGACAGTTTTATAGAATAGTAATTAAAAAAAAAAGAGGTATTGTTTGTTACTGCCAGAGGCAAAGTTTGAGTACTGCATGAAGCTAATGGTTTTTGATCTCTTCATAAGTTTACGAGTCTTAACCTCTTTCAGATGCACGAGGTGTAGCAGCGGTGATGTTACCTGGGGAGCCTAATGATTCATCCTCTTACTTAAGCATAATCCAGAATTAAGGAGCCACTGGAATGTTAATTTAATTTGTATTTGTTAACAGGTACCTATGGTCCCGAGCACTGGGTTACTTCCAGCGAGAAGTGCGGGGGGTCCCACCAGTCTCCCATAGACATCGTGGACCATCAGGCTCATGTTGGAGATGAGTATCAGGAACTGCAGCTCGATGGTTTTGACAATGAATCTTCTAACAAGACTTGGATGAAAAACACGGGAAAAACGGGTATGTTCTCTTCTGTTTGTCTCCGTAGCCTGCCTGCAGTCAATTAGAAATTCAAGCCATGTTCCATCCTCCTCCTCTTTCATTGTTCTGTTGTTTGGGGTTTGCTTTTTTTTAAGAAAATATAATTTTCCAGAAGCTGCCTCCCATCCCTGCCTTTGCATTCTGTGCAAAGAGATTTCTGCAGATTGATTTTAAGGTTCATTTTTTAAGGCTTTTATTGTGTTTTTTTTTTGTGGGTTTGTTTTTTTTTTTCAGTTCCCCGTACAAAATAATTCTCTTGGTAGTGAGTCGTTCCTCAGAATAAAAGGCTATATGAGAGCTTCAAGGTGTAACCTTGAGTTATCAGCTTTGGGAGGCTGAAACATCTAATCCAAAGGAGCGCTGAGATGCAAGGCTCAGACTTTGTAGGGAAGGGGAAGTTTTAGAAATTGGGAGGTTTTGGAGAAGAAAGAGCAATAAGTGCTCAAAGTAGTGGGAGCTTATGAATGTGTTTCTGATATGATTATAGCACTGTGTTCTTCACTGAACTGAATCCTCTTCTGCTCTGTCTGTTCTGGCTTCCAGAGAAAAGAACAGTGAGAATACTGCTTATTTTTACCAAAACAGTTCACCAAAAGGTCAAGGTTGATTTATATGCAAAGCTGCATGCATTTGATTACTCTTTAATTCTAAAAATGTAAAAATCAGAAATTATAAGGCCATCCTCTTCATTTGACAAGGTCAAATATTTTTAGGGAATTGGATTAAACCGCTAATTAATTCAATTTTATTTATTCAAAGTATATTTTGATCTTTATTAACATTCGACATGTGTGCCTGCAGTGCTTTAGGTAACAGGTTCCTCGTCAGAGGTTTGTGAGCAAACCCGGGTATGGACCTGCTGCGCTTTGCATTCAGCTGTGCCCACAGCCTGACCCACTGCCCCCACGGGTCTTTGGGTGTCAGCCACCAGCTGCTTTGGACCCAGTTCCAGGGACTTACTGGGACACATTGCCCCTCAGCTGAGGAGGACACGGGCTGGGATCCTGCTTTCTTTCACCGCTAAGCAAATCTGGTTAATGTAAACCACTGGTTTTTTAATGCATTACTGAGGGTTTTTTTCCAGCTTTGCTAAGAAAAGCTCCTGTTTGCTCTCAAATCCTGACTTTGTTGCCCTTCGTAGCAAAATGAGGTTCAGGGGAGGCTGAATGCTGTGGAATTTGGTGTTTAATTAATCTTATGTACCCTGCCCGTGTTATGTACCCTGCTCTTTTAGTCGCAAAGAGCAAGTGTAGTTATCGGCAGTAAACGTAATTAGAAATACCAAGAAAAAACGATGGTGCTTTTCTTCCAAGAGAAATGCTAATGCTACATGGTAAGTATAATAGGAACATATTGCTGCACGTATAATAGGAAACCATGCAGAACCAAAACGGCACGGTGAATGTTCCAGTCTTCATGCAGTTGGCAATGAAAGCTGTATCTTCGGTCTCCTCTGCTGGGTGATTTTAGCACCGCTACTATATTTGATTTCCTCACCCATTGGGGTGTGGATTTTTGCTGACAAGTTATTGCTTCTCAGGGCAACAGTAACTATCGCTGTTCTTGGGTATCTTACAGATTTTGCAGGTTAGGCAAAGACTCTTTTTGCCCTGCTATCATCTCTGAGTCTTCTGCTGAACTCTTAACTCCTCCCTTGATTTATCACATTCCATTCCCTTGGTTTACTGACCTTTGGAAGAAACTTGTCAGGGATTACTTTTTAAGGTAGTAAGTGGTACAGCAGCAAACCAGGTAGGATGTTTTGGCCTATGGGCACAATGTAGCAGCAAGTTGTGCCGGTTGTGATGTGTGTTGACAGCAGTCTTGGAGTAGATGACCACAGGAGACCTTCCTGTTGCTGACTGACAGTAAGCTGCATTTGAATTTATGCAATGGGGATGGATGTAGAGGGCATTTCACTGCAATTAATGACTGCTTAAAGGAGACCGGGGTCTGAGGAAAAACCAAAGGCCCTTAACTTTGATTCTCATTAACTGGCAGGAAATGCATTGTGTGGGTTATTGCTATTCAGCTGCTAATTTTTTGTTTATTAGAATTGACCGATTAGTTACTTTTGTGCTTTTAAATATTAAAAGGTAAAAAGAAATTTTGATTTGTTGTGCTCTTTTTTCCTTTCTCTTCATATCATCTAAAGGGCAAGCAATGTACAGGACACAGAACTTCATTCAGAAAATGAACATATATTCATTATGCCAAATGCCTCAGCCAGAAATGCTTTGCATTGGATTACATTGACTAATATGGGTTTGATTTCATCACCATAGAAGCTGGTTCCCAAGTGGTAAAGATTACTTGGAGAGTAGAAGCACCTTTCATTTTTGTTGTTGCCTGTGCCACCTTTAATTAAGTGTTAGCTGGTGTCAGCTGGGCCTGAGGCTGATGGAGCTTCTGGGCACGACCCTGTGGGAGTGGAGCATCTGTGGGAGCAGTTGCCACAGCAGCAGTGCATGCACTGCGGTTTTACCCCTCCTTGGATCACTCAGAGCTTCTAATGACTCTGATAAACTCACAGGCATTGGTGCCAGAGGTGTGTTTGGGTACTCTTTGTACCTTGTGTGCATCTCAGGCTGGGTCAGAGCTGCTCTGATAAAACAAGGGAAGAGCTGCTTTGTATCCAGGCTTGGTTTTGCTCTCGAGAAGGTGGAGGATGCACAGCTCCAGCCCTGGTCCTGCAAATTGCATCAATGATGGTGATCCTGGTGGTTGTGCACCACCTGCTTTGTTTTTGAAATCTCAATCATACATTAATTTTAAGCCTAGTAGTTATGGAGGGTTAATTCCTTCCTGTGCCCTCTGCATGACTTACTGGATAAAAGCAGTGGATCCCAAAACCCAGTTTGGCTGCTCCAATCCCTAATGCCAGAAATCACATGGAGGGAAGGGAAACCTCCAAGTTAATGGCAATAAGGAGGTGCTGCTGAGATAGGACGGTGCTGAGAACACGCATTGGAGAGCTCAGCAGTGTAAGGAATTCTGTAAAATGAACAATTAGATGAACATTTCAGATTGTACATCCTCCTAATTATCCTTTTAATTATTCATCTGAAACAAGTAAAATGACCCCTGACAGAGCCATAAATGATTTAGGAACTATCAAATATTTATTAGATGCAACTGAATCCCCACAGAGATTTTTAACAGATGCACGCATATCTGCTTTCCTGTATTCTTTAAGTCCTCCAATTTTGTCTGTGGAATTTCAAATCAATAGAGAGATGTTTGGTACCTGAAATACTGCTGAGCTCATTGAGGATTTTGTAAAGGAAGAGGAGAGCAAGCAGTGGTGCTTCCTGTCACTTGTGTTTCGGGGTTGGTGTAAGGATGCAGCAATACCTGGGCGATACAGACTGTATCCTACAGCCTCCAGACTTCCCACACAAATGCTTTTACATGAAGGAAGTAGAACTCACGGAAGAGCCCTGTGGTGTCACTGGTGCAATGAATAAAGGCCTGAACATCACATGCACATTGGCATTTAGATGGTTTTAATATAAACAATTTGATGCTTAGACATTTCTTGGTTGCACAGTTGCACCTGAGCTGGAGCTGCTGTAGCCCGCAATCTGTACTTGCAGGGAGCAGCCCTGCCATGGCAGACAGCCCTGCCTGCAGCATGAAATGATTCACCAGCAGAGGAGTAGCTCCTGTTTCACAACCAGCCTCTAGATTTTTTCCAGCAGTGAATAAAACCCTCTCCGTTACATAATAAAAGCGGATTTATATTAATGTTCCTGTTGTGATGATACAGCTGGATTGAGAACAGAGAGAAATTCTTGTGGGTTGAGCTCTTCTCATTTTAAAAAAAAAAAAAAAAAAAGAACAACGAACAGCACAACTTCAATCACAGGATTCTGGGCAGAGCAAGCAGTGGTCTGCACTGGCTTTTACAAGAACAAAATGCTGATTTTAGTTCTGTTTTTAAGTGCCAGTTTTGCAGAAAATGAGGGGAAAGGATTTGGTAAGGAGTCATTATTAGGAGTTATGCGTGTTAGAGGTGGGAGGTGCTGGAAGGGTGGGTGATCGTGTAGTGAGAGCAGTGGACAGGGATGTCAGAAAGCCGGGTTCAGTTCTTGGTGGGACGGTAGTTCTCCCTGTATCATGTACCATTTTCCACCGTATGACTTTGCCCTCTGTTTGGACCTACAGCTTTTATTGTTGCATAAAATATAAAGGCTTTTCAGAAGGGAAAAGAAATTACAAAGAAGATCCTTTTGACCCTTACTGAATTGTGTAACAGTAATATCAGTTACTGTAAAGAAAGAACCAAAACAGTTCTGATGGGGGGCTTCTCATGAGTGGGTTTCAAAAAAGTTATTGTCACTCTCACTGTTTTACATAAGGGAAGAGCAAGGGGGTCGAGGAAGGTACCTGCCATGTCCAGCAGTAGGGGGGGGACAGGACACAGGCCCTTTTTCCCCTGGTAACTTAGAGAAATACAACAAACAGAGGATCTTCTAACTGGTTATCTGCACACCTTCAGTGAATCACAAGGCCAAGCAATGTGGTCTACCATTAGTCCCTGCAACAACGTTAAATGGTTCTTGATGAAGTTTGTCATTTCAGTTTTAATCAAAGCCCAGTGGTAAAACCTGCTTGCAGAATTTGGACTTGGTGGTTTTCTGTAGCCTATATAATCACTTCTATAATTAGCCAGCATTAAATGTGTTTTTTGTTTTTTTTTTTTTACCAGTCCCTGTGAAGAGGATAATGATGACCTCATGTTTTACTTGCATTAGAAGAAATATTCTAATATAATGAGCAAAACCTGTAAATGCTTCAAAAAACTGTGCTAAGAAGGTCTTTCTCCTTGTTCTGTGTGTGCAGTTGCTATCCTGCTGAAGGATGATTACTTTGTCAGCGGCGCCGGGTTGCCAGGCAGATTCAAGGCAGAGAAGGTTGAGTTCCACTGGGGTCAGAGCAATGGATCAGCAGGCTCTGAGCACAGCATCAATGGCAAGAGGTTCCCCGTTGAGGTGAGTGGAAAGACATGTGCTTCTGTTCTCCAAAAAAAAAATAAAATCAGAATGTATTGCTGTAGTTTGAGACGGCTGTGAAATAGGGCAATGTTTCCTTCAGTGAACATATCACTTTCAAGGCCCTTCTGGCCCTCGCAGCACTCTATCTATCATCTCTTATGTGCTTTTGCAATGTCAGCTCCGAGCTCTGCTTTGCTCGCATTGCTAGCTCTCACGTCCCGTGGGCTGTTTCAAACTGCCACTTTTCTGGTTTCTCCCATAAGCCCCTCTGTGTATGGGAGGATCTCCTTGCAAATATCTGCAAAGTGACTTCATTGTCCTCCAAATCCTTTCTTTCCCAGGATGCTTACAAACAAGCAGCTAGCAGTGGTTTGGGAGCCATTGTGCCACGGCTTCTGCCTTTCATCAGCACTGCTTCTTGCATACGTGTGGCCCTCTACTTGCATTCAAGGTTTTGCATGGTGAAATAAAGCAGACTTTATCTGGAATTACTCCTTCTTGTTGGTAATCGGACGAGTGCTTTCGAAGCAAGAAGTGTCCCGCTGTGGCATGTGGATGTGAGCAGTCTGTAGGGTGCTCTGCTTGCCCAGAAGGCTCATGTGGACAGACGTGGTTTTCCTGTGAGCTGGGCCTTGGCAGAATTTGATTCAGGCCCCAACTTGCCATAATGTGTCTCGTGTGACTTCAGCCAAGTCCCTTTTTCAGAGCATGAAAATGGGATTCCAAAGCACAAAGGGAGGTTGTAATAGACCCTAAAAAAGTGCAGTTTACATCTTTCTGCTGCAGCTGTCCCAGTGCGTGAGTTAGAACAACTTTTTTTTTGCCTCCTGCTGGCACCTGAGCCTGTAGGTTGGATGGTCTGAGGCAGAGATTTATTGGTTGGTTTATTTATTGCAAGGTTTTTTCAACAGCTTCTGGCTTGATGCAGCTCTGATTTTTGGTGATTGCTACCCCCCTCAAACATCCAGAGCATGGGCCTGTTGGGCTGTTGTCTGCCTCAGTTGGCAGTGCTGCTGTTTGTCACTTAGGGTGCTGGAAGGAGCACTGTGGAAGCCTTCAGTCAGCTCCTCTTCTGAAATTTGAGGGAGTCAGGCTGGTAAAGGAGCCTGGGTCTTCTTTCTGGAATCAGAAATAGTATTGCCACTGCACAAACCCTTTCTTATGAAGCTATCCTGATGCTGGCTTGATCAATAGAAGTTACTTTGAGGAGAAAAAAAAAAAAAAGAAAAAAAAAATTCTTAAAAAATAATTTCCCTTTTGTTTAAATATTCTTTATTTACTTTTCAGCTGTTTGGAATGCTTATTTTATCTGCTTTAAAATTAAAAAAGAAAAAGGAAAAGAAGAATCTGCCCTTCTGAATTCTGTCACTGTTTATGAATGCTGTGCAAAACAATTTTCTATATCAGATAGGTTTAGTGTTAATCCTTATAATGAAAATGTAATTTTCCAAGTGATTTGTATTCACTGCTATAGCATGAGCCTCTGATCTCTGGCCTTTCTAAGTATGAATGCATTCAGCAGGATTCCCACAGATTTTTCTTTACTGTTTTTATAAGGGAAGAGCATTTTCCTAAGCAAGACTTTCCTTATTGCTTTGCTATGTACCATCTCTCTAAGATTTCCAAATTTTGTCCACTTCATTAAATCATGTGCTGGAAAGGATTTTCCTGGGTGGATTTTGAGAGGTGCTCAAAATATCCAGTAGGTTGCAGGTGATAAAACTGTTTTCTTCTCACAAAAGTAGTTCACACAGTTGAGATTTTACCTCTCAAGCAGTAACTGTACATGTGTGCATGGTGCAGCTTTTAATTTGGAGCACTAATTGTAGTTCAGCATGCAGCTGCCTGATGCTGGGAGATATGTGCCAGAAATGCTGTGTTTCATTTCAGAAATAATATTTCTAGGTAGGCTTTGGAAAGGAAAAAAGCAAAATCCCATCCTACAGAAAGTAAAGCCCGAATCAGTCTGACTGTTCTGAGACCCTGGGCAGAGGTAAGGGTTTTAAAGAGTGCACACAGGTATCGATGTGCCAGGTCTGCAGCAGTTATGGTGGAAATGCAGTTGAAAGCAACCATTTTCTGAGTCTAATTGAGAAACCAGATGTGGACTATGCAAAATCCATCAGTTCCAAAGCACGTCCCAAGGGAACACAGATAAATCAGCATCTTCCATAGACTCTGCTCTGTACGCTGAAGTTTGGACGCTTTTTTCCTCTGGGAAACAAACTGCTTGCTGATAGTCTTTTTTTCTTGAAAAGGATACAGAAAGTAATTAGAAATGTCAGATATAATACAGAGCATTATTGTTTGACCATGTTGTTTGGTTTTTATTATTACAACTAATGTGTCAGATGGTAAGGCTGTCTACGTTAATTGGTTTCCTTCATTGAAGCCCATCTGGATCATATTTTTTTGTGATTTATATGTTAAATTAGTTGGTAAGATATATGAGAACGTCCTTTTGTTTCCTACTTTAAAGGCGTGTTGGATCAAAGGCGTATTATCTTGCAGTACTTTTTTGCATATGTAGCATATTGTGATTCCTTTTTAAACCATGGCATATGTAATGGTATTCTAAATGGTTTCCTTCATTATATGGTCTTGATTGCTTATTTATTGATTAGATTTTCCTTGATGATACTTTATCCTTATGAAGTCATTATGAACTTGGCTTTCTCTGAAGTATCATTTACGAGTGGAGATGAACATATGTCTCCAACTTCTATGCATGATCAGAAGCCAGTCTGTGACACCAGGCCTGGTCAGCATCGGCTTTGAGTTTCTTTTTTCGTCTTCCTTGCCATTTTTGCATCCTCATCTGTGAGGTCAATAAAACTAGTGCTGCGATGCTGAAGATTAAAGCAAGACCATTAGTGCATTGCTGTGCCAGTGGAGTGTGAATCCTAATGAGGATGTGGGCTCTGTGCCAGTTTAGAAAAAGTCTCCCTCCTTTTTTTCTTCAAGTCAAGAAAAGTTTTTTGACATCGCAGTCTCTAAATTTTAATGAATTGCTGACTCCTTTGTATTTTGTTGTTGTTCTTCTCCGTTATAATTACTCGAGTTTTTCTTTTGCTTTCTGAACTTGAGGCTCTACAAACAAAGATGCAAACGCCAGAAACCATTTAAATGGCGAAGTGACAAAACTGCAGTAAAGAAGCAGTTTCCCTCAGGCCAGGAGAGAACCCAGGTTCCCCTCGTTAGAGCCAAGAGGAATAATTGCAGCCCTTTCATCTCTGGTGCCATTGCCTGGCTCCCAGCCCTGCCTGCTGCGGGCCGTGCTGGTGGCTCAGGCTCCTGCTGGGGGAAGCCCGGCGCTCGGAGCTGACGCAGCAGCGCTGCACTGGCGATGCTCGCTGCCGCCATCCCAGCATTGCTGGGATTCTGAGCTGCCTCGTACTCATTTTTATGCAAAATGCTGATTATTTCTGTGAAGAGCAGAAATCAGAAGAGTGATTTTAATCATGACTGTGTTAATTTGATGTGAGCTTTGGCTGTTTATGAGCTTTCTCTTTAATGGCGCTAATTGTCGGTTATAATGTGAACACCATTATGTAGTAATATACAGTAATTTATTTAGTAAATGAGAATCTTATTCCAAGGACCATACTGCAATATGCCATAGAGACCTCATCTCTTTAATCTTACATGAACAAACTTGCACTTTCTAGGCCAGATTGGTTATAGGAACATCAGCTTTTCTTCTGGAAAGCAATGTGATTTTGTTGTACCCACAAGCACCAGCATGCATGTTTTTGGAGATCACTGGTTCTTCATTTAAAGCAGACAATAACAACAACAAAATATACAACTGAAAAAGAAAACCAAACCCACAAAGCATTCCAGCAGAAAATGAAGAGCTAGCACTCTTTCATGTTGATTAACGAGCTTTTACGTTACGATGATTGATTCATTTCATGAAATTATTATTATAAACAATCATTTGCATTAATAATTTTTGTTCTCCTTTAAGCGTGTTCCTTAGAAGACCTTCCAGGTTCTAATGGTATCTTTGTTCTTGCTATTTCTTTGATTTTCTTCCCTTTCCCCTTGAGTATACATACTAACTTCAGCGCTGTAGATCTCCAGCTAGTTGCTCTAATTTGAATGCTCAGATCTCCTTGCCAAAGGTTATCACCATTCACTATCTTACCTCTCATTATATCACTTAAATTCTCATGTTTTATATTATCACAGACGGAAGATAATCAATGTTGTTAATGTAGAAAAGATGTGTGGTACTCAGTGCACAAAAGCCTTTATTACAGGATATGAACTGAGACCGGCTCGTGTTCTGGGGGTCATCCTGAATGGTAATTCTTTCTGTGATCTCTAAAGTGTTACCTACTGTATTCCTCCAGGCTTTCGTCCACCAGTAGATGATGGGATATATGCTACTTAGAGTCGGGTCCTTTCTTGTTAAGTTTTAATGAATTTTTTTCAAGTTCCACCCTTGCTGCATTTCTAAGTTCTTTTGGGTTTGTGTGTGGTGTTCTTTCTACTTTTTCCTTTAATATATTAAAAGGAGAACAGATCGCAGTATGTTTTCTTGACATCCAGGAGAGAAGTAGCACCCTACACTGCTGTGGTGCAGTTAGGTTTATTATTCCTGGCATCCAGCATCTCTGGTAATTTTGCAGAAATCTCTGGTGTTGGCTTTGAGTACAAGTAAAGACTGATTGTGAAGTAGGGTGCCAGCACTGGTTTTATTCCCTTATATTTTGTTTAGTAGTTGCTCTTCAAATTTCCTTGCTTCCATCTGGCAGGATGTAGCAAAGTAGAAGTCAATAAATGATGGAAGGACCTAAAGAGGGCCATTGGGAATACATCACAGTGAGATACGTTGACTGTCTGAAGTAGTTTTACTGTAATATGCTCTCTGAGGACCAAATCCTCAGTTATATGGGGTATCTTAGAGCTCCCAGTGACTTTGATGGGAGACCTGCTGGTGAAACTGAGTACAGATTTGGCTCCATACCCACGCTGTCTTGGCTGTAGAG